GGGCGATTGATCTTCTTCTTGAAAACTATCGTTTTCGCGTTGGCTTGAAGGGGCATCAAAAAGGATGCCAGAAACCTTTGCTCTTTGGGCGGGGGGGTCCCCTGTTTTTGCAGACCAGATCCGCCTCCTGTTCGTTCAAATGCACTGAGGTCGCCAGATCTTGCAGCTTCACGAAGCCGTCGCTGCGCATGGCCAGCCTATTCCGCCCTCGCGCGGTTCGTCTCGTTTCGGGGGAACTGGGAGCGGGGGGACGGGGGGGGCACGGGGGGCACGGGGACGGCGCAGAAGAATAGGATTAATCATTCGTACATGGGCCCCAAATGATTTCAGTAGAATGGCAGGCTTGGGATGCATGTGGCCAAATTAAGTCGTGCTTCTATCTGTCCAGGTTCTCTACCTTTTTTGTCAATCTATTTGCCTGCCTATTGATCTACCTATTTGTCTGTCTCTACCTAGTTATGGCATGCAATGGCTTGCTATCTCTGCGTCAGCCTTTTCAGTTTGACTACCTCCCTTTTGACCAATACATCTATTTGTCTACCTAAAGATCACACATTCAGAGCCTCCCAGCTACACCGAAACCTGTTCCACCTGCGGACGCGGACGCTTGCGAACACATCGACATATCTGGCGAACACATGGTGACCCCCAAACCCCCGGGGACACCTCTGCTATGCATTCGGGAGGGAAAACAACGCGCAGTGCTTCGAACTGACTGGCTTGAGGGCCCACCTTTTCTGGAAACATCTATGGGCTGAACGAGTACTAACCTTACTGTCCGTGGCCATAAACTGGCAGAAACCGGATCTAAACTGGCTTCCTGCCAATCTGTTCGCAAAAACAAAAACAAAAAACGGCTCACCTGCAGGCGCAGGTGTGCTCGCGGCTTCCACGTGCTCAAGCTCTCATTGGCAGGTGGCCTTTCAACCCACTAGCCTCCCTCCCACTAACGTGGCACCTGCCAGAGGGTCCCTTGAAGAGGAAAGTGATCTTCCAGGTTCCCCCCCCACATATGCTATATTAGTGGGAGCAGGGGTAACACAAAATCCTTCACATTCATCCCAACTGACTTTGTCCAAGCCAAAAACCTCCGCTCGCCTGATCGCTCGTCGTGCCGCAGCTTCTTGGCAATCCGCCTGCTCATGTGCTCGCGGTCCATGGCGCGGGTATGGCACCACGGTGCGCTTCCTGCTCAAACACGAAGACCCATTTCAACCTCCTTGTGGCTTCCCCTGAGACCTCCCCTGACAGGGTTGGAGTTGCAGCACAGGTTGCCCCCCGGGGAAGGCACGCCGAGCTCAAGCTACCGGCCGCTGCGGCAGGCTCATGCGACCTCAGCCTGAGCTCCTTGGGCCTTAAAACGAAGGCCTCGCCGGGCAAAGCTTTTGCCAACTGAACAGTCGACCAACCAAATGCTTCAAGCCAGAGGGTCAGAGCCTTGATGGCTGCCTTCTTGAAGCGGGGCAAGGAAGCGCCTTTTTTTTTTTGGGGGGGGGGGGGGTATGCCCAGGCATACCGAAATCTCAGAGAGGCACTGAAGCATGCCCCCTTGCAAGGGAGTGTCTCCTTGGACGTCTGTGGCAAATCCTGGGGCGTTGTTTGGCACCCATACCCAGCAGTAGACCACCAGTAAGCTTGTCAATTGCTCATCTGAGCAGTGCCAAAAAGGCTCTACTACATACACTCCCATGAATTAACGCGGTTCCTGACGTTTACACAAGTTCGAACGGATTCTCTGTACTAGGCCTTACCATGATTGAGACTGGAACTCAATCGGCTCACCTCCTGCATTCCGAGACCTTTTGGGATGCCCCAAATCCAAGTAAACATCTAAAAGCTGGTAGGGCCAACTAAAATCGCACACTGGGATCGCGTGAGGCCGCCTGGCCCTTCTGCACCCGGATGAGGCCCTTGGTCTTCAAGGTGTGCCCGCTGGCGCGCGTGGTGTAGACCTCCAGAGGACCGAAGGGCCACACTTGTCCAAGGAAAAGGTGAGGACAAACAAACAACCGGGAAAGGGCATTCAGCTGGGTTGGAGCGAGTGCCTGGAAGTTCCCAAATTGCCCCCCCCTTTTTGCACATCTGCGATTGAGACATCTGGGCTTGTCTCGCAACAGAGGAACCCCCCAAGATTGTGTTGGCGTCCCTTTACACAGTTTGAAAAAGGGAACCCTCAAGAACTTCACACTTGCAGGTGTCCTTTTGCACTTGAACACTCATCGGGTGGGCCATTTCAATCGCCGCACCCCTGTGCCGAGGAGCCGAGCAGCTATTCTGCTCCACACCCCCATCAAGCTGCACCTCAGCAGCGAGTTGAGGACACGCTCTGGGGCGTGCACCTTTGCCAACCTCCCTGAAACATGGGAAGCGGCCTGATTGAGAGCATGGCAATTTCTTTGAGAGCGTGAGAGGGGGCCTTCATCTTCAGTATGGCTACTGACTTCGAAGGTGTTGGGCAGGTGTGGCCTCAACAAATCTCCGCTTCCGCTTGGTCAGAGGGGGTTGAGCAGCGCAGGTTCGCGAAAACGCCCTTCTCAGCTCAACTAGATGCCAAGCATTTCGCGTCCCAACGCCTTGCGCCCCAGGAACCATCGGCCGAAAACCCGGCATCTGAAAACAGAAACTTCTGCAACTGAGGCGTCTGGCTTCTGGAAAGTGGACATGCACATCTTTGAACCAGCTCCGGGGCAAACACCCGTGGGGAAGATGGTGGCTTCAGGCCAAAGCGAGGCCCAGTTGCAGCTGGGTCGCAGAGTAAACGGAGTCATGCTGATCCGTCCAGGTGCCGATCCTTACAGAGTCGCGGCTGGGCAGTGCAGTTACCTCTGACTACCTCTGATTCATATGGCCCTGCGGATGGTCCAAAGTTGACGCTAGGAGCGGAGGCCCTCTCCACATTCTGGGCATGCAATAGCCATAGACAAATGTGTTTCTTGTTTTTTTTTGTTGTTTTTTTTTTTTAATATTTGTTTGGTGAATGTGTCTTAAAAGGGGTGCCCTTGCAACCTTTTGACAAACCCAAGGTCAGGGGAGCTAGCTGCGAAGTGGGCTTTGACAGGACGCCTCAAGCTATTTGGAAGCGCGCAGATTGTTTGGACACGTATCCTGAGCTGCCAACGGTTTTCAGGGGGTATTGGTGCTTCACCCTCCATCCTAAGTAGAGTTCTAGGGTCCTTACCATATGTCTCAGCACTTGTCAGGCCAAAGGTGATATCTTCAAAATTGCGGCAGTCAGAACCCCAACCACAACCAAAAAAAAACACAACTATTCACATGGTCTTGGTTGATGCAACCACTGCACAGCCAAAATGAAACCAACCATTGGGCCTTGAAATGGCTTGATTCTGCTTGATTAACGAATCCGAAGAGCGGCTGGCTTTGAGACAGGCCCCATGTTTCTTTCGCCAAAGGTCACTAGGTCCAGCAGCTCCAGATTCCTCTGGCGGAGTTCGTCCTCGGTCAACAACCTCCTCACCAAGGGGGAGGAGAGCACAGCTGACAAGCACTGTGGCTGTGGGACCCGGGTTGTCTGTTTTCAGATCCCCTGCTACAAGTGACTAACTTGTAGGAGGTTACATGGAAATCCCCACTAAACCCTAAATAAGCCAACAAAAAGCCAAGGGTGTGGCTGGGAACCAGCAAGAAAAAACCCGTCTGCGATACCCACGTCTACTTGGTCACTGTGTGGTATCGCATTCCTTTGGTATCGCAGACAGCTCCCACATGGACAACTATGCCAAGGACATGCGCGATGTTCACCGGCTTCCGGCGGATGGCTCCACGAGATCCCCTCACGGTCATGGCACCCTCTTGGGACAGAAAGGCACACACGCACAAACACACACACACACACACACACATATATATATATATATATACATACACATAATGTCACATAATATGGAACTGACATGGGACCTCCCAAATACACCTTTGAGAAAGAAGCCCCAAGACCCAGCGGACCCTGAATGCCTCTCCCCCAGCCCGCACTTGCACGGCCAAGCTGCCAATGAGGAGAGGGACTTGCCTCGCCATGGGTGCTTCCAAAGAAACTTCCGTGCTCTTTGGGTCAGTGTCTTTCTAACAGTCATGGAAGACCGGGGGAGGGGGGGACCATGGCCACGCTCTCAAAAAGACACACGCCGCAAAACACAGGAGCTTATCCCAGATGCTGGCGGCATCTGCGCCCTTCTCCTTCCATCCTCGGCTCAACACCCTCATCAGCAGGTTGCACAAAGCCAAAATTATGGTTCGTGTGTCATTGGTGCTGGTCACTAGCTCTTGCTGTTGGTTTGCTGGAGTTCTCCGAATGAAAAGGCCCAAAATCTGTGCTCACATCTCGCTCGAACCCACACAGATTCGTGCACACCGAGAATCGGAGGCGATCGGCAGACATCCGGCAAACCTGGCAAGGCCCCTCCCCACTTCCATAAAGGAGCGCTGTGCTGGCCATCCTCATGCATAAAATGACCCAGAGGCATCCCGTGGCTCCGGTTTTTGCGGTTTTCGCGCCGGCTCCCCGCCTTGCTCTTTAGCACATGGGCTCTCTGGCCAAATGCTCGGAATCTCTGTGTTGATCGCGTATTGGTTGAGTCTCACTGTCTTAATTTGCCCCACATCTTCCAGCCAAACGACTTGTGAAATTCGGAAACACGTCTTCGCTCGGGGGTCCTTTGGGGGTCCTTGGATTCACTTGCTTTGCGCCGAAGCCACTGCGCCGTGTGCCTGTGTTTGAGCCTACGCACGGTTTCTGCGCAGCAAGCAACTGGGCGCTACAGATTCCAATCAGCGCAGAAGGCCAAACTGGCCCGCTGAAACATTGAAGATCCAGAAAAGGATGTGCCTGCAGTATGCATGGGGCAAATCCTGTCCCACATGGAAACCGAAGTAAGCCCCAACCCCATTGTAGAAAAAAACCAATGATGTAAGCAATACATTGTAAGCGATTGACTCGCTCCATCTACTCAAGACACAGATCTCCACAGCCAAGACCCACCCACCTGCGCGGGAGGGATCCACCACCGCGACCACCTGGCCAGCAGCGCAAAAAGCAAGTACCTTGTTTCCAACAATCCTGGGGTATAGGTGCATCCGAACATATATATATATATATATATATTTATATATATATATATCTATTCCTATACATGTGTGTATATGCACATCTATACAGTTGTAGTTCTATGTATATGTATGAATGTATATAGAAGCGACATAGCTACATACACTTATATATGTGCCAGTCTGTGTGTGTGTGTATACATATATGTGGATATACACCTGCACTTAGATGTCCAAACTAAAAATAGCGCCACCTCCAATGATCACAGTCGTGCCGAGAAATGTGTAAGGAGAAGCCGCTCACAGCACCGCAATGCTTAGACAGTTCAACCAGGTTGAAACACATGCGCAGCTCCCCATCCTATACTGAGCGGCTGTAGAAGAACTGCAGAATCCACCCCCTTCAGCTCGAGCTGTTTGGGAAGACAGCTCTGAAGCTCTCTTGTGGGAATTTTACGGCGCACAAAGCCAGAGTCACAACCCCTTCCCCAAAGCTGGAGCAAAGTGCACAACATGAATTCCGCAGATGGAAGTCTCTCAAGATGGACCGCGTTTTAGTCTGGAACGGGAACCAGAAGTCTCTGACACCTTGTTTGAAAAACACCCTGATCAAACATGGCGGGCCGCACCAGTGGATAGCACCCTTTCTCGGATTGAATGGACTGCGTGCAGCAAACCCCGCCCGGAAGACACACCTAACCCCAGGCCCTGGATTTTAGGGTGCAAGCCCGAAAAATGCCAACCTCCTCAAGGAGCGAAAGCGAACTGAATCACTTCACGAAAGCGCGCAGGAAACCGTCGCCTCGCTGGTGCTATCCATGTCGCCCAGGATCTTGGGCACCAGATCCTCGGCCTTGCCAGCCTGCAGTCCGGCGAACCCCCCCCCCCCCCGCCCCACTCCTTCGCTCGTTTGGACACCAAAAGGCCGAGGGGCCGGTGGTCTTTCCTGAAACCCAACTGGGGTTCTACCGGAGTAACGTGGCGCTCTTTGCCAGGGTGCGACCGTGTCCACCTGAAGCCCTCTACGGCTCTTTTAGTCCGAATGAGTCGCGGCCCTCCTACCTGTTCCTGGACGGGAGCACGCAAACTCTGAAAGGATGCGCAAGGAAAACCGGCCACGAGTGCGCCCAGAGCAGCTAGGTTTAAGCCACGCTGGAAACCCTGCTGCCGGCCCTGGGCAGCTTGCTAAGAACTCCGTGTTGCAGATACCGTTCTGCTCAGCATTGCGCCTGGCATCCTGCAAGGCTCGCTGCATGGAGGAGGAGCGTCATGGAGCAACACCTGTAACTACCGCATGTTAGCCCCCTCTGGAGGCCCACAAGGACTTGTGTATAGAATGTTGGAACAATGGGCTGGCCCAAACCTGGCCACATCTCTCAACTGTAGCAAGTCCTGGATGTTTTCTTCCACAATGTCGACGCCAATCACCTGCCAACGGACTGGCGGATTGATGAGCACCTACAGTAGAACTGGACATGCAATGTGACCACAACATGTGGGATGTGTCAAAATCGGAACTTGGATCCTGAAAAAGTGGAGTTCTTCATTTCCCTTTGAACCACACACACAAAACACACACCCGCACTCCAAAGGCTGGGGCCACTCAACGCGCCTTGCCGCAGTGCCGCGCTGCGCAAAGGCCAATGGTGCCGATGCCGCAGAAGATGTCCAGCAGCACCTCCGAAATGAGGAGTCGGGAAGCGGGGGGGGGGGGGCCGGGGGCCGGGGGGGGGGGGGGCTTTTGGCCTTGAAAGGCGGGCTTTCGTGCCCTGCAAACCATCCTCTGAATTTGAGGTGGTTGGCTTGTGTTTAGGATAAGCCCAAAGACTAGAAAGGGTGCCCAGTCTAGAAACGAAGCCAACGCAGCCCCGGCTTTTCACAGGTGCCCTCCAAGACCTTTCCAAAGGTGGCTCCACGTCTGGCACTTTGACATGGAAGACACAAGAAATGGTGGCAAACTACCAGCACTTCCCCAATCCACCATGGTTGCTGTTCAGAGAGTATCACATTGGCGAGTTAGAGCGGGATGCTCGAATTCTCCACAAACCCCGAATACAAGCTCTGGGCGCGTTGCCTCTGTCTGCTTGAGGTTGAGATACCTCAAAGGCTTGGCAGCTTCACTGGTTCAGTCGACCAAATGGATTGTACGTTCCGAACTGTTAGGAACGGAGTGTGGAAAAGGCAATGGATCACGGGCAAGTGCCTTGCTTTCAGCGTTTCACGTGGAGGATGCTCTTCCACCAAACACTATCCCATTCCGCGTTGCGAAGGTGTCGATTTAATCATTCAGCGGCCATCATGCCAAGCAGCGCGAGAGCTGTCTCCATAAGGAATCGACAGGTCGTGGTGTTTGGGTTGAAGAATGACCTTGGTGCCAATAGCTCATCTCCCTACCTTCAGCTAGCACGCCTGGTTGCATTTCGAGCTCTGAAACGCGCAAGAAAAAGACTTTCGGACTCCGGAATTCTTTCCTTGACACCTTTCTTCAACATCTGCTCGTCCCGAATGGGCTCCAAAAACCAGGGCCACAACACCCCGAAGCGCCTTGCCGAGCCGCAGCGGACCCACCTCCAGCTTCAGGCCCAGCATCGGCATGTCCAGCCTCCGGGTCAGCAATCTTCGGAAGGCTCGATGGCCATTGCAAAACTGGTGCACGGATCCTGGATTTGTTGCACTTGGAGGCGGTCTCTTGAGGCTGTCCTTCCAGAAGCTCGTGGGTGTGTTTTGTTGAAAGGTGCGCCAGCATGGCCTCGGAGGCCATACTTCATTCATGGATGTGTCAGCTCAGGCCCTCCAAATTGCTCCCGCCGCGGTGTCCAACAGGCTCTCCTCTTGGAAGCGTACCGACCTTTCCTCCAAACATGGAAAGTCACAACGAGAGCGCCCCCTGACGATACTCCCACCAGCCCAAAACCCGAGCTCCGGCCTGGGCTTTCCGTGCACGTGAGTCACCTGAGCACCGCCCTAAAGCCCACAGCAAGGTTTCTCTGTGGATATGAAGTGGGGGCTCAGAAACAAGTCCCAAGCAGCGGGTCAACGCCTAGCAGCCTAATGCCTTCTCCGACAGACAAACCAAAAATTGTTGCACACACCTGCAACTTGTAACGGCCCCACACACACACACACACACACACACACACACACACACACACACACACACACACACACACACACACACACACACACACACACACACACACACACACACACACACACACACACACACACACACACACACACACACACACACACACACACACACACACACACACACACACACACACACACACACACACACACACACACACACACACACACACACACACACACACACACACACACACACACACACACACACACACACACACACACACACACACACACACACACACACACACACACACACACACACACACACACACACATACACACACATACACACACACCAAAAAAAAAAAAAAAGGCAGAAGATCTTTGAACGCTTGGCCATTTCATCAAAATGAAGAGTGAGCCAATTCTGCAAGCTGCAAACAAATTCATTCAGGGTCGGTCAATGATTCGGGGGTGGCGGTTCGAAGGGACCCGCCACTTTAGATGTTTTAGGATGGTGTGCGAAGAGACGCCAAGAGGAAACCAACAACTTCGTGGGCTTCTGAGAGCCCGGCGACTGCACTAGCACGGGCTGCGTCAGTGACCTCAGATTTTGTGAAGGCCAGGTAAACATAAACACATATTGCTTGTAGAGAGATAGTTCATATACACATGTGAGCAAGCACGTCTAAGTGCATATTTGTATACATAGATATGCTTCAACTTTAACAAAAAAAAAAAAAAAGGGGGGGGGAAAAAACAAGCCTGAAAATAAGGAAGCCGCCCTGTAAAAGGCCTTTATCATGGTTGACTCGCTTCACCCCTAGGTGAGATCGCCATACAATCAGCAGCAACAGGAGGGTTGCAATGCAAAGCAGCTGAAAACTACCAAAGAAACATGGAACCTGAGTGCTGCCCCGAAGGAACTATGGGTGAAAGAAACACAACTTCAACCTTTCGAGCACCGGGCGCGCTGGCATCTTGGCACCCATCTGCAAGGCCCCAAATGCCCCACACGCCTCGTCGTTGAACTGCAAAAAGACCGAGGTGACACCCATGTCTTTGGTCAGCTCTGCAACCAAAGGCGTCACCTGGGCGGAGGTTCGATTTGGCCACATACATATGGGCGCGTCTTCAAATAGGGGAACCCTCAAAATGGGTGGTTGACTGCTGGCGTCCCTTTCAACCAACCCCAAAAATACACACCCATATCAGTCCGTTTGAGAGGAATATGTGGGGGACTCACTGGACGCCCCAAGGAGAAAGGAAGAAAAAAACGGGGACGATTCTGACCGTGGCACGGAATCGGCCATGTTCTTTGAACAGCGGGCAAAGGGCAAGTGGAGGATCCGACTTTCCTGCTCATCCACATTATTCGAGACATGCCAAAGAATGGCCTGGACCAACCATACTGGCTTGTGACATGAAGCAAACAGCCTAGCAAAACTGCGCCTCTTGTTCAGAGGACTCAAATGGCATTTGGCTCCCAATCCGCATCTGCAAAACATGTCTCAAGTCATGCCTCCCTCAATGAACCTAGTGCCTTCACAGCTTCATGCAGGCCGTTCGTTACCCACTTCCCTGAGGACACGACAAAGCGCTGCCTGTCCTCCTCTGAGAGGGTGGTGGTTTGCACCATCACCAGCCTTGCACTCTCCCAGTCTGGCTGCGCCCCGGGCCCGTGGGTTCCATTGTGCCGTGAGAACAGCGGTCGAGGCGTCAGGGGCCTTTAGGGATAGCCAGAGGTGCTCGGTCATGGTCACAGCGAGACTGACCGTGCCTTGCCCAACAAACCATCCCAGCCCCCTACATTGTTCCATCACTATACTGCTCAAACAGTATAAGTTGTATTGTTCAAACATTGTACTGTTCAAACAGTATAAATTGTATTGTTCAAAGATGATGCTGTTCGCAATCTCTTCAAACACCCCCCTCTTAGACTCTTAGATTCTTTTTTCAGCCACGGCCCAAGGTTGCTCCAACCCAACCCAGCCGAGCCACTCGGCTCCCTCGCCCAGGGCGCCCGGCATGTCCCCCGCCGGGTTCACCCGCGCCAGCACCGTGCGCCAAACCCCCCGGCGGCTGCACTCCTCTCTCCGAAGCCATGGGTTTGACACCAAGGGAAGCTGAGGTGATTCAAAGATGCGAACAGGCATGGAGGGGGTCCTGAAAAACAAGACAGGGGGCCAACACGGCAAAAACAAACGCTGAGATACAAGCAGAACCTACCAACAAACGAGTAAGCCAGAACAGCACCAGTCCCTGCGGTCGTAGACGGGGAAGTCTGACTTGGCTACGAAGTCTGCAACCTCGAATGCAGGCGAGGTCTGCCGATTGCCCTTTGGCACCCACCCTTGAAGAGAAGAAACATCGCCTTAACTTTGGTGCAGCTACCATCGCACATGGACGGCACATGGACTGCCAATTGCTGAGCTGGCTCTTGGCATGTACAGAACATGGCTTGCAGAGCACAAAAATCGGGGATCGGCTCAGTTCAAAACATGCGATCCACTCATCTCACGTTTAAACCCTACCCACCAAGACTCGTCCTTGCCCAGCTCAAACTGCCAAGTAGCCACCCGGCACAGGCGCTGCATGCAAGCTGGCACCAACCTCAGCACAGCTCTAGCCTGGACTCATGAGGCCCCAACCGCACATAGGCGAAGCCCGTGCGCCCAGAGCGACCTTCTTCCAAAGAAAGGTCCGAAAACCCGAAAGTCTGTGTTTCAAGATAGGGGAACCCCCCTAAGATGAGAGCTTCATTTGCTTTCTGTAAACCAACCTGACAACAGGACCCTCAAAGAACGCACAAACAGCTTTCAGGCGCTGAGCAGCGGGCGGCACCTCCTGCACACTCCCAATCACCTGAAGCTGGCTGGGTCCAGGAACCGCCTTGCATAATCCTCACCCCAACCCTGCCCCGTGGAAAACGGCCTTACAGATCTGATGTTATCCCCAGCCAGCCCCAAGATTCCGCCGCGCTCGGCCTGGGAACCATCCGACTGGATCTTGAGGATAAAGCCAACCTCGATGGCCTAAGGTCGCAAATTAGACACCCCACAAATCCGCGGAATTGATTCCACGCCAGAATAAGCCTCTCACAACAAATTATCAAACATAAACAAACAAAACAGACTGTGCACTTGAAACCCAGCAGAAAGGTTGCAAAAAAACACCTTCGAGCAGAAAAAAAATCCAACCAAATCCCACCAGTCCACCTCAGCTTGATGATCTAGCAATACTGCGCATTGAATAAGCTTAGGTGTCAAATTGAATACTAGGCTCATCAAGTAGTATTTTTGGTTGGCATCCCAGAACGGCTATTAGGGCTGGCGGAGAATTGCTGGCGATTCCTGCAATTGGGAAATGGAATGAGAAGCTCAGCACGAAGGATCAGCAGGCAGCACGACAGAAAATGCATCTCGTGAATAATGCCAAGGGCGGAGAACCAGTGGCATTGCTGGCAAGCCAGGTATTTGATAGACCGCTGCGGAAACTCACACCTGCTCTGGAACGCTTTAAGCAACTCTCCTGCAAATGGCGGCGATGCCCGAAAACTGCATCCATCTGTAAGGAGGACCCTCAAACACTTGAGCCCGAGCAGCCGAAATCCTTGATTCACAAGCCCCGTGAGGCTAAGAAAGTAAGTTCAAACAGCCCAGCGTCCCCTTAAATAGAAAGGGGGTGGGGAACTAAAACATATGGGCTATTTAGAAGCCAGCTCCATTCACTGCGAAAGCAGGATAGGACGCTCCCGCTTCAAGCGAACGGGGCCCATCACGGAACCCAAAAAGGCAAAGCAACGCGCAAAATGCCCTTCAAAAAGTCAAGCTGCCCTCGCGCCCTGCAATCCTAGCCTTGGCCAAGCAGCTCCAGCCTCGTTGCGTCCAATGGTAAACCTCGACAGCAAGGACGTGCTTTGACTGGGTTGTCCAAGACGGCCCGTCCCAATCCGTAATCATAACGTGGATTGGGGCGCCACCAAATATTCATGTTGAACAACCCCGCTTGAGGAACCCCACGCGCTGTCAATCACCTGCGTCAACACATGCATAGGTCAGAACCCATGAGGCAGCATCAAGCTAGGATGCACTTGCGTTGCTCGAAAAAGCTTGCAAGAGCAGTTCTCCAGGACGTTCTTTCGAACACATTGCGCGACAAGACTTGAGCTGGCGATTGGCAGTTTGCCAGTCCCCTTTCATGCACCTCTCCCTCTGGGTCGCCGGCTCGCACTTGTTGCGCCAACCCCTGAGGCAAAGTACACTGACATCTGCCGCAACATCATATGACGTCAAGCAAGGAAAGTACAAGTGTGCCGAAGCAGGTTTTTCCTGCCTGCTGCCACTGTGCCCTGTAGGTGGTGAAGCAACCCCCCAAAAGTACTCTTGAGAACCTCTCAAAACACGATCTTCCTGGGCCGAGCGCAACACGTGCAGTTCCGACCTTGTCATTTGTAAGATGGCAGATTAGCTTCATCCCACAACTCTTCCTGCGTAGGATTCTGGGATGGCAAAAAACGTCACTCCAAACTGGAGGAAAGCCCCGTGCGAGTGGCGAGCTCCTTTCTTTTCCTTTCTATTCCTTTTGGCTGGCCGGCTCAGTGGCCGACCAAAGCCGCAAGGCGGTAGTGATGATTCACGAATCTCCCAGCCATACGAACAAGAGCTGCGCAGAAACCACATGCCATCGCGCCAAGTAGCTGGGACAGACCCGTGACCGTTGCGGACGTGGCCACAGCCAGGGGTGACACCAACCCCCGGACGCATGCAACACATCCAGCGACGGTTCGGCAGCCGGCACCACAAGTTGGCGGCCAGAAGATCGCAGGTTGGCCGGCCTGTACATTGTGCTATGGTCCAAACTCCTGATATGGGGTCGTGGTATGTCTTTTGGGTATCCTCTTTTAGTCTTCCGGGGCTGTTTGCAAGGGAAACCAGCAGAAGGAAACCACCATTTTCAAAGGCTTCGGTTCTCACACACGCACACTCACACACGTTGTGGACCATAGTCATACTTCTTTCACCAGGGACCCCTACAAGGGTTGTCTAAAATCCTTGGACGCTTCGACTATAGCACGCTTGGTGAACCAACACAGGCATGCAAAGCTGTGGAGAAAAAAAAGGCCGACCTCGCCCTCTGATTCCGGGCTGGAATGAGCAAGCTTTCTCGGATCTGCTCTCTGGAAGTCTGGAAGGCAAAGGCGCCATGTTGCCTGGCTTGCACACTCCCCCAGTCTCAATGGGAGTCGCCACTCCACCTTGACAAAAAGTCGGCTCCATCTCGAGCCGAGACCAGCTATGGCCGAAGGCTTTCAGCCAGCACGGCCCGGGAGCTTGAACTCAAAAAAAACACTAGGAAGTGAGGGATCATCAAGTGAAGCCTGCCCACATGCTGAGCTCGTTTTTCTTATCCCACCCCAAAAAGTAGGCAGAGCCTGTTCAGAACCAACCAACCCAAGCGCCCCAAGCCTCGTCTGTCGCTTCATCGCTCACTTGTGGAGACGCAGTGCGCACCGCGCCCTCCCCCCCGTCAACACTTTGCCGCGGGCGCGCGATCGGAGCGGGGGCGATGGGCGCACTCCGCGCGTCCCCTTCACCCCCTACTCTCCTGCAGATTAACCTGGAACAAAATCAGATCCACCACATCAATAGAGACCCCCCACAAGGATCCAAAAAGCGTCTCCTCTCCAAACCTGGGCTTCCTTGTTGCCGGTTCCAGGCCAATTTGCAGAACATCCGCGCCAGAATCCTCACGCCAGACCCCTTGGCACCTCGCCTTCCCGGAGGAATTGCCGCACTGATGGGTGGCATCTGGGTCAGCGTCAGCGCCCCTTTGTGGGGCGTGCCAGGCATGACCTTTGGACTCGGCCAAAGGGACCTCCACCAAAAACCCACCAAAAAACCCACCCCGAAACCGCCCCATGTCCGCCACCTCCGCTTCAAAATCCAGACAAAAAGAAAAAGACAGGCAGCGCCTTCGAACTGCCATCACCCGCCCGGCCGGATGATTCCGGCCGGGTAAGGTGAGGCCCTCACGCCACTGCGAAGTGGTCGCTGGGCCTCCCCTCCACCGAACCCTCGGAGGTCTCACCCTCGATGGAGGTCTCCGAAAAGCACAGCAAGCGGTCCTCGAGTGGATACCCTTTTACGAGCGAGCTGTGGTTATGAGTGTGGCTCGGTACCCGTCTTAGGGTTGGTTTAAAGGGAAACCGAAAGGAAACCGCGCGGAGTACCGAGGGGCATGCCTGTCCAATTTCCCATGTGCGTGATCGTTGGAAAAATAGCAGCCCTTTCGTGGACATCATCATGAGGATTTTGGTGGGTGCTGTAGACACTTGACAGGGAGCACCATTGCCAAACGTGGATGCATCGGGAGTCTCATACTTGGCCCTTGCTCCAGTACCGGCATTAACTTTACCACAAGGCAAGTTTTGACAACGTGTTTGTCGTGTGTGTGTGTGTTCACGTATTTGCAGACAAGTACATCAATGTGTGGAAGTGCGGAGCTTCTGGGGCAAACAATTCCAAACAAAGGTTCGAATAAACGAAGAAAGGAAAAAAGGAAAAAAGAGGGGTCCGGAGGGCACGCAGCAGTTCCCAAAAGCACGGCCAATTTGCAAAGAACTGGGTGGAACAGCATTGAGTTTCAGATTTGCAGAATAGATTCGTCCACACACGCTCACACGCATCCATCGGTACGGGTGCTTCAGCACAATGTGAAGATCCACATAATACGAAGCCAAGACAGACCAAACCCCGTAAGATGGCCGCCCCAGTACAACTCCTGGCATGGCTGCAAGTCTAGATGCAGGCAACCCGGGGGCCTCAAACATAGGGGGCCAATCGCTCGCATCAAGATTTGCCAAAGCAGCGAGGAAGCGGCGGCTGATGAGTCTGCACGCAAGCTCCTGGGGCACACGAAGCCAAGCGGCTATGGACAAGCGGCTATGGCCCTGTGCTCCGTACGCGTTTTCAGCCGAACACCGGTGAGGGGATGTCTATGCCCTTTGAACCTAGCGCTTAGGCGCTTGCGCTCTTCATCTTCCCTGCATCTCTTGGCTATGGCTCTCTCTTCTTGCTTTCTCCGGGAAAAGGGCGACCGGCCCCCACCCCCCCCACCCCCCCCCCACACCTTCACCTCGGGCTCGTCGTGAGACGGCAGGGGCGGCTTGTGCGTACGCCTGGGGCCCAGAACCAACAGCGCCTCCAGCGACACGGGGCGATGGTCCTCACAATCCACATGCAGCACATGCGACTGAGGAATGGCAAAAAGGGCAAAAAGGGCCGGTTGGCTGAGTTGGTCGAATGTCGAATTGCTCTCTGGTCGCTTTAGACTTCAAAAGCACTTGGCCCTTTGACCCCTGGTAGGCAGTCCACAATGCCGGAAAAACATGTCATGCATCGAGCTCGGACCCCTTAGCTCTCAAACCACTGCCTTAACACCTGCATCAAATGAGGAAAATCAGGCAAACTGTGGCTTAGCCCCACACGCACACACATCCACCCAACGCCCCCAAGTTCTACATGGGGAAGCTCTGGCATGCTTGTGCGCCAGTTCGTCCAAGCCACGCTACCGTCAATATGGCCCAGGGTTTCCTTGGCAGCAGGTTGACGGCAAAACCAGAGCTGTCGCGAGGCGCTCAGCCAACAAGTGGCAAGCCATGATCAACCCGTTGCTCTTCCCATCACTTCAGGCAAACAGAGCCAGTATGCCCGTGGCAGGATTGCACAAGCGGCCACTCGTACAACATGCGGCCCATCAACTCCAAACGCAGCCCATGAAAACCGGCCCGGTTGGTTGCGGGCCTTCCCGTCCGAAATCCCAGCAAACTGTGGGGGATCCCACATCCACGTCCCCAACCCATAGACGGACACCACAACGGGGGTTTCCTGCCACACAAATGGGAAGCAGACCATCTGGCAGAAGCACCTCGCGCACTATTCGCAGCTTACATGGAACCAAAACCCATCGACATCGACCCTTGAAATCGAAACGTCACTTGCGAAGGTCCGAGCAGCATAACCGCCGTGAGGCAGGACCCAGGACATTTGCGCGGACAACTCATCTGGCGCCCAGTAGATCACCTGAACCCGGGTGTAATAAGGAAAGGGTTTGGTGCTCCTTGGTCATTTGCGGTACAACTCTTTAAAGTGACCTAGACCGCGAATAAACCAACCTAGATGGACATAGAGTCTCTTCTTGAATCATCCCCCATCCCCCCAAACAATTGAACCAGGGTGGGCCTGACCCTGGGCCAAAGATTCAAAAGGCTCGCAAAAAAAAAAAAAAAGCGTCTGGAAGAACCGCTTGCGGGGCAGGCGCCCGCTCGGTGAAGGCCGGAAAGTGGGAAGCCTTCACCTTGGCGGGGTCCTTCTTGAGCCCCCACCTTGGGATGCGAACTAAGCCGCGGCCCCCACCAGAGAAATGGGCCCTATAAAAAGGGAAGTTGTTCAGGTGGCATCTTGCGATGGATGGAATAGATGGAAGGTTTCCCCAAGGGTGAGTCCAAGGCACTTGAAAGGAAGCAGGTTTTAGGGTTGGCGTCTTCCTTGCTGCAATTGCATGACGAGCCACGAATTGTTCCTTTAATTTTGTTGGTCCTCGCTGGGAATGCCAAGCCGAGGGGTACGGCACGGCCGTGTTTGCATCATGGAGGCACCCACAAATTTTGCGGCATGATATGCAGCCAAACCTCCCCAAACGACCCTTAGACCCATCTTTTCGACCTTTGGGTCTTCAGCCCAGAATGCAGCTCCAAGCCGCTCCATCCCGAACTCGTTCCTGCACAAGGGGAGGAACAATAGCGCTGGTCTTGCCAATGGACAAAAAAACAGAACTTGCTTCTTCGTTTCCCTGCGCTATCCTCAGGCCCGCAGCAGCGCGCAGCGCTATACACGAATGTGACAGGCTGCCATTTGACCCGAGACTTTTAGGAGGCTCGCACGTCCGTTTTGGCACGCAATCGTTAAATAGGTCCCAAATCAGCTTCGGGGCCGAGTTCGTGGTTGGCACCATCCAGTTGTGAACAACTGACCCCAGTTGTCAACAACTGACCCAGCGAAGAACCGACCAAACGGCAAGGGATTTTGAGGCGCCCCGATTGCTTTCCCAATCTACCTGTGCACGCTGGTGAGCTGGCGTTTTGGTCCAGGCGGAGGCAGCGCAGGATCCTGAGCGAGATCACAGCCCCCAGTGCCATGGGAGGCACTCAGCTCCCAGGTGTCACGTGGGGCTTGGCCTCTTTCAAA